CCTCCTCCTCCTCCTTCTTCTTCTTCTTCTTCTTCTTCTTCTTCTTCTTCTTCTTCTTCTTCTTCTTCTTCTCCTCCTCCTTCCCTCACTCCCACACCCTATTCATTTAGTTCATTTTTAGTTCAATTAAACAAACAATTTTTATATGCCTAATATGAGCAAGACACTTAGAGATACAAAGAAAAAAACCTGAACAGTTCTTGCCCTAAAGGAATTTATTTTCTATTGGGAATTATACGACGGACACAGATAAATAAATATAACATTATTTGAAGCACATGAGCTGGACCTTGAAAAAATTCAGTGGGCCAAGGGCTCCTCTGCCCCATCTGAAGCCAATAATTTCTATAAATTGTAAACTTCTCCAAGTCAGGGGCCATGCCTAAGGTAGCTTTCCAGTCATCCTGCATCTTACTCTCCTCCCTGCCACTCCTCCCACGTATTCTTTGATCCAGTGACATGGGTTCCTTGCTGTTCTTCAAAACAAGACACTCCATCTCCAGATTCTGGTCAATTGCACTGGCTGTCTGCCATGCCTGGAATGCTCTTCCTCTTCATCTCTGCCTCCTGGCTTCCCTGGCTTCTTTCAAGCCTCAGCTTAAGTCCTATTCTTAGCAAGAAGCCATTCCTAGTCCTCCTTAATATTAGTGTCTTTTTTTTTTGGTGAGGCAATCACGGTTAAGTGACCTGCCCAGGGTCACACAGCTACTAAGTGTCAAGTGTCTGAGGCTGGATTTGAACTCAGGTCCTCCTGACTCTAGAGTCAGTGCTCTATCCATTGCGCCACCTAGCTGCCCCCAGTGCCTTTCTTTAGAGACTACTTTTTGTCTATATCATGATCATACATAGTTGTTTCATGTTGTCTCCCCCATTAGACTGTGAGCTTCTTGCAGGCAGGGGTTTTCTTTTACCTTTCTTTGTATCATCAGCATTTAACTCGGTGCCTGACAGATAGGCACTAAATAAATGCTATTAGTCTACTGACTGACTTCATATCCCCAGTGTACCAGTACGGGGTCCTGTGCACCAAGCAGTCTCAGTAAATATTTATTGATGATAAAGGAGGATGGATTTGAATGACCCTGTGTTAGGCTATTAGGGCTCACTGTAGGAAATGTCATTGGTTTCTTCTGAGCCTTCCTGGTACTGTATTTGTTAACTCATCTCCCCTCATCTCCCCATTTCTTAGCTCCTCTGGGACCTTACCCAGGGCAAGTACTCAGCCCAAGATCATTTAGTTTCAGCGC